CAAAAAAAAACTTTTCCAAGGAGTTTTTAAATTTTAAAGACATACATGATAATGCTCAACACTGTAAAATTATAATTAAAAAAATTAAATTTTAAAAAATAAACAACAATTGCTGCTTCTAAATTAGAGATGCAACATACAAATATTTGGTATTTAGCCTATACTGCTGAACGCAGAATATTCATTTCGGACGAATAATGGAAGAATCGTCTGCCGAAGACAAAACTTAATTCGTTTACATCCATCTTTCTTGTTTTCTGCCCTGGAAAGGGTTTATTCGATTAACAAAATAATAATGAAGGTAAACAAATTTGTGAAGGGTCCGATAAAAAGAAAAAATCATTTTGTGAAGGGTCCGTTTTTAAGTTAAAATATTTTGTGAAGGGTCCGTTTTTATGAAAAGATATTTTGTGAAGGGTCCGTTTTTATGAAAAGATATTTTGTGAAGGGTCCGTTAACGGACCCAAATTTCTTCTAAACAGACCCCTGAATGTTCAATTCCTTAACCTTGTATTTTTGAACTAATGCAGAAAACAAGGAAACGCCTGTATCAGTACTCCCAGAGGTATGATTTGTTATGGGAACATGGAGGACCTTATGACTCTACAGATTTAACGTTCATCAATCACCATTTACTACACGGGGAGTCTTCATTCGGCGGAGATCGATCCCACGACCACTTAGACATGGGCCCAGTGCCCTACCAGCCTGGCTATCGCGGATGGATTCAAATAATGGATTCAAATTGATCATTAATCGATTGGAATTTTCTCTGCTTATCGTAAATATCGAAGGTATTTTTAAAGAGTTTTAAATATTGATCTACAAATGTACCCCGCCAACGACGCCCATAGTATAAATTTTGCAGGCACTTAAATATTTTTGGCAGAACTTTGGGAGCTCCACCTGTAGAAAATCGGCACGAACTTTCAGGACGACCCATGAAGCGTAAGTCCAAAATCAAAGATAATAAATTAAACTAGCTATAGTAAAGGAACGATATAATAAATATGGGTTTCAATGACAAAAGAGACACACTGTAATAAAAATAAATAACAGGTGTAGTTAAAGAACGATGTTAAATGGAGAGAAAAAAACTGCAGGAGGAAAATATTTACAAGCAGTTCCCAAGGAGAACCACTTCCTATCTACGAGTATTACTTGTAAGATGAATAAACTTGATGAATACTTTATTATCTATCAATCAAAAATCATTTCACTTGTTAGTTCTGGACGGGGAAAAATAAAGAAAAGAACTTTCAAATCACGATTTGAATAACCAATAAGTATTTCACAAGTCTTTCTGTCATTTATTTTGGAAGATAAAAATTATTTGCTTGTCTCTCTCTCTATTGTATAGGCCTGCTATTCTGCGTAATGAAGGATAATTTTAAGACGTAAAAATATATATATTTATTGAGGAAATCAGATTTTGACTACAATAAAACGCATAAATAGTGCTGAATTTTATTATTATTATTTGAAAATGCTTCCTGTGAAATGTAAATCTTAAAAATGTGTTTTTGTAATTTTTTCTTAAATTTTAAGACTTCTAGGGGTTGGACAAAAATATAGAAACATTTTTATACTAACTATCTATATTAATAATCTTTATTTTAACTGAAAATGTTTTGGAAGAGTTTACATGACATGCAATTATCATGCTGGAACTTTTTGGAAGGGATGTATTTTTTACCCAAGCAACATTTACATCGACCCAATAAGCGTAAGAAGTTAAAAGCAGACCGGGATAGTCTGGTTGGAAGGGAGCTGAACTCACGTTCTCACGAACGTGAGTCCAGCGCCCTGCCACTACTAGCTTAGTGGCAGGTTACACACTACCAGCTTAGCTCAAGTTCTATACCTCATATTTTTTTCATTATGGTTTTATCACCCTACTCCATATAACTACTCAGTCAGAACTCAATGATCCACACGAATACTCCTTTACTTCATTTGCATTCCACCACATCATTGAAACAACATAAAGTTAAAGATGAACGGGTAAAAGGCCGGCAAGCGCCCTCAGATACCTAGAAATTTCATTTAGTTCAGTTCTATTCAGCATAATTTTAAAACTAAAAAAGTAGGAAGTTTTTAACTTCCTCTCCTCAATTTGGTCGATCCAAATTTTGCACAAGTAAAAGGATCATTATTACTAAACACTTCAAGCATGATCTTTCAAATTGTTATATTAATTTTGCCATGTAAAATCTTCCAAAATATTTACTGCTAAAAGAAAGATTATTTACATAGAGTTAAAATTGTCCAAACCCTGTAAATAGAACAGCAATGGCTCAAGAGATACAGCGTTCGCCTTCCAATGAGGTGAACCGGGTTCAAGTCCTAGCGATGGTTGGTAGATGCGAATTCCTCATCCGGCTTGCACCGATCATACTGCTGACGTGAAATATCCTCAGTGGTAGATGGATCATGGGTTAGAGTCCCCTTCCCGTCAGGCAAACTGTGAGAGGTTCTCGTGGTCTTCTTCTCCATGTAACGCAAATACGGGTTAGTTCCATAAAAAAGTTCTCCATTATGGCAAAATTTCTTTCTATACTTGATAGGAGTCCCCTCGTCTTCTTGATTGGGTTCAAAATTAAAAGGCTACGTAGTTGAACATTAGTAGTAGTAAACTCGAAAATTGGGACGACTGTTATAAAATAGAATAAAACCCTGTAAATAAAAATCAAATCGATAATTATTAACAGAGAATGGTTAGATTTTTTTATTTTATTTATTTATTTATTTATTTTTTTGCACAGTAGAAAATGGTTCCTTACTTATAATTATTTTTTGACGAAGAATGAGCTCAAAATGATGATAGTTGGAAAATAAATAGATTATGTTTTCTCCTGATAAGACTTTTTAAAATTTAAATTGTATCTAAAACTAGAAATTATCCAATCCAGAACGCATTGACAGGAAAAAACTATCCAGTACACATTTTTGTGTATTTTTGATTGTTTTTAAAGCATTTAAATGACTCTGATAAGTTATTGTGAAAAGAATAGTGAAATGTCTTTTTTTTTTTTTTTACTGGGCCAAATTAATTCTGCTTTGCATATCACTACCAAGTTAGATGCAAAAGAAATTATTATCATGTTTATACATTTTTTACGTTTCAATTTTTGAAAGCATTTATATTTTTTTAAAGCATGCTTTTTCTAAAGAAATAGTTTCCAAAAATAGTCGTTAAAATGAACTGAAAAAGAGATGTCTAGCAAGTACGCAGAGACGCCAACTTCCTCCGCTTTGCAAAAAATATTTTCTCATATTCTCTAGTAGTAACGAAATTTAAATTATTTTAGTGAAGTACTTTTCATTTTAAGTAATTTTTAGATCCAAAACATATTGAACATATTCCAAGTATCAGATGAAATGCAACTTAATCGTAGTTATCTCGTGGTGACACTTTTAAAGAGTAGGCTTAACTATCCTTTTTCTACAAGTGTTACTATTTAATTCACTACCCACTTTAATAACAAAATTTGCTAAAAGAGGAGAAGCAATTGTCATCCCTGAGTATGAAATATTAACCTTAACTGCTATTTCGTTCCAATGTATGAGAACATTTCTATTTGAATACTTCGAGCGGTAGAAAATCTTATGATATACTAATATATTGCGATTCTTAATTCAGAATGATTCTGTCGAGTGTCCACCACTACAACTTAAACCCGTATATAAAACCTATTGATTATATTGAGAAGTTTATAATTGCAGGCAAAATTAATCAAGTTATGTTTCCCTTAGATTGTTTCCCTACAGCTTTCTCTTTAACCTCTTCGAGATGGGAGAGTCATATAAGCATTCTCAGCTAAAAAAATAAAGCTGGTAGCCATTTTTACAGCAGTTTATCTGTACGGGGTAATAATGGTTCAATTTATTTATATCGCCAAGACTTAGTTCAAATTAAAAAATATGTAGTTACACTTTTAACAATCATAGATTAACAGAAGATCATAATTAAATCATAGATTTAACAAAAATAAGGTTGTAAAATTAGCCATGCTCAAACTTAAGCTACCGCTTTTTATTTTTTTCCATCCTCCTTCTGATTCCATACGAATATATTCATGACTCGCCCGTCCCGAAAAGATTAAATATTCTGGGAAGCTAGGACTTCCGCTTTGCGAACAATGACATACGCATTTTCATATGAAAAATGAGATGGCTTAAAAATTCATCTTAAACTGAATAAGTCAGAGAAATATTAAGTATATAGGAATAATATAAATTTTGCCACAACTTTGATCATCATGTGATTAGACACTTAAATATACAGAGTTTGCAGAAAAATATGGAAGCACTTCTATACTAACTCTATGCAAAAAAAATTATTTTAGATGCAAATGTTCCGGAAGATTTTACATGGCAAAGCTGTTAACACTATTTGAAATATCATGCTTGAAGCTTTTAGGAAAGGTGCCCTTTTTATCCTTGCAAAATCGACCAAAATGAGAGCAGAAAGTTAATTTTTTTCCCTTCCTGTTCTAACCTCACTATGATTTTTAAATCATTCTTTTATAAATATCGCAATTCAATGGAATGATTTTAAAATTTGCTGGCATTAAATCCAGATAAAAGTTATTTACATCCTTTCCTCCGATTTGATCGATCCGAATTTTGCATGGGTAAAAAAAGACATCATTTCTATAAGCTTCAAGTATGATCTTTCAAAGTTTTACAATGTAAAATTTTTCGATTTAAAAATGCTCAATCCGAATTTCGAATGGGTTAAAAAGACATCATTTCGAAAAACTTGAAGCATGATCTTTCAAAGTTTCATCATGTAAAATCTTCCAAAACCTTTGCTCCTAAGAGAAAAATTGTGGTTAGTATATAAAAGTATTTCCATATTTTTGTTTAATTTATTTAAATATTCAATTGGTCTAAGAATATTTTAAGTAAATTTATAAATTCAAAGGAAAAAAAATAGATACAAAAATTTACAAAGCAACTTTAATAAAAATAAAATCGTATGAAAAATCTGTGTAGTGTCACCCATAGAAATGTTTTAAGATTTTAGATCTGCATTTACACTAGCATTGTCAACAAATCTAAGTATAAATGTAAAAATGTAAACGTAGAACAATAATGCTTATTTGATTATCTAAGGAATCATCCTTTGATTACCGCTTTAAAATGTAACCATTTCCTTATTAGAAAATAATGATACTTTCTTCATTTACGAAGTTCCTAACTACAGATTCCATACACGCTTGTGTTATATTAATTTCTAAACAAGATACGCGATTGGTTGTGTCATAAATGTTTTCTTCCCAAAAGCGGAAGCAGTTATCTTGGAGGATAAGGAAGCAGGTACACAACTTAACATTTCCTTTGACTTTACAGCCTCTTAAACGTGTCTTATTCTAAGAAATGTAACCAGTTTATAATGACCCATATTCTTTGCTCAAAATATAACATTTGCTTGTTTTTATAGCTATACGATGTGTGTATTAAGAACAAGGGATGATATAAGGTGAAGGGGGAAAAATCGGACAAAACCTGAACCCTGAGTAGGTTTTATTTTGTCATTAACAGCTATGTGAGTGAAAATAACATAATTATTTTATATTTCAATCATTCAAAGTTTTTATTTTCTTCGTACTTCATTTCTATGGGTTAAAATTTTTTTTAGAAATCTGGATATCACTTTAAGACCCAATGTAAATTAAAAGTAATTATCTTGTATAAATAGCTCGAAACGTTGAAAGTGCTAGAAAAATTATTTTGTTATAGACATTATTCTTAGACATTAAACGTAATCCATGCGCACTGGAATATAAAATTAAATTATAAATCCAATTTTATGTTTGTAACAGATATTAAAATCGCAGCTTTCAAAAAAGAGAATCTTTATTCAGTTTAAACTTACTTTAAAATGAATATTCTACTACTATTTATTTATTGGGTTAATATCTTTCCCACAAAATAGTGCAGGTTGTGTTTTAAAGCGATAAAGTGTGTATAAAAAATGGAACATGGACGAAAAAAAACGGTGGTAAATAATTTAATCAATATTCAATTTTTTAACCTTCATTTTTAATTAACTGAAAGAAATAAGAAAACTTCACCATTTTTAATCGATTAACACCTGCCCATGATATAAGTAGTGACTATCCAAAGGACATGATATTTGTTTATAATTACACTTAAAAAAAAATTAACGTTAAGAGTTTCTTAGTCTGTTTAGGGATTCATCTTGTGAGCATTGAAGGCCTGCCAACTACTACACTTTTTGCAAAATATTTTATAGAGTGGTAGACATTTAAAAACCAAACCTTTCATAATTTTTTGGTAAATTTGCCAGCTATTTAAAAGCCTCACCATGAAAGACTTGGAACAGAGAGGTGTTGCATATGAACTTTTAAATCATTCATATGTAGTTGTGTGAAAAATAAGTTTAAATAAAGACAAAATAATGCATAGCTATCCACTAGAATAACTTATTACAAAAAGCGTAGAAAGTCGGTAGCCCTGCCATTGTATTTTGCAACTGTTGTGGATGTAAATATTTTTATTCTAGATATAGTGATATATTAATAATTTACTCTAGATATAGTGATATATTACTAACTAACTAATCAAGTTTTTCAGAGTACCTATCCATGAATGGATATCTGCTCTTTNTATAGTGATATATTAATAATGTAAAAAAGTGGTAGAAACGCAATTCACTTTTATTTATTTATTATCTCTTTAACTATTCAATCGTAACTACCGCTATGAATTATATTTCAAACATTGATATGTAAAACCAAACCATTCCTTGAATTTAATTTCAATAGAAAACTGAAATAATATACAATGAATCGTTGCTAATTTCAACTTCTATGAATAAAAGTTAGAATTTTATTAACAGTTAGCACTGTTTACATTCTTAATCGCCCATGTCAATCTAGTGAATGTACATTTTTGTCTGAATATGAAGTGCAATGTACAGTACAGTGTACAGTCTGAATGTACAGAGCTTTAAAAAAATGGACCACCCTGAATAACTTTTGATCTAATGATCTGATCTTTACGTTCTAGGACTCAATCTTAGTAGGATAATTTTAGATATGCTCATTAACTAGTACAGACGATGTTTTTAAGTTATAAAATCAGATACAAACCGTGCTTTGTTTGAATAAACTGTTTTTTTCAAATTCGGATTTCTGGCCCCCTAAATATAAGGGGAGAATCTGAGAAATATGGTCTCTGTAGATTAATAACATTCCATAAGAAAAATCCATAATTTGATGACATTAGTATTAATTTTACTTTCTAAGTATTTTGCCGTATCTAGTGAAATAATTTAGTGAATTGAAAGATTTTAGCACACAATTATAAAATTCGTTTATGCAAAGATAATTTCATGTAAGAAACAACTTTTAGTCGAGATTTATTGTTTTTTTTATCACATTATTTAATAATAGCAGAAAAATTTTGAACTGTATGGTATAAAATTTTTTACATCATTTTAAAGAATGTAATTTTACAAAGCGAAATTCAAAATTTGAGTAAAATCTGTCGAATAGTTCTCGAAAAATCGTATTTGAAATATATACGAGTTTCTTTACGAAAATTCTTACCAAACCGTATTTAAAAGTTAAAGATATGTATTCTTTACAAATTACCTTTGCAGGGCTGCCAATTTTCTTCGCTTTTTGTAAAAATTCATTCTAATAGTATCTAAGTTTTAATTTAACCCCTTGGGGACGGATGATTGGGGAAAAGCATTCGTACAAAATCAGAATCAGGATGTAATTAAATAAAAAACGGTAACTTAAATGTAGTCGTTTCTAATTTGACAGACTTACTTTGCTTTTACTTTAATTATTGTTAGTTTAATCATATATATAATCAATGTTAATTCAAAGTATANGAGTAAACGTTATTTTCAGAAAGGTTGATGAAATTATTTGTTTTGATAGTTATGATATGAGGCGTCGGAGGTGAAATGTGCAGCTATTGGTCTGTAGTTTTTATCTTTGATATAATTTTCAAATTTAAAGATTTCATTAAAATTTGCTGTTTTACATTCTATGGCTTTATCGAAAAAATCTGCGTTTAGCTTGTATATATGCTGTGATAGAGTTGGTATTTTGAGGTCTGCATGTATATTGGTATTCCGGATGAACCATCTTGCACAGGTTATTTTTCTAAGGATCTTGTTTTGGCAATCTTAAATAGAGAAGAAAGTAATACACTGTATCTGTTTCAGTAGATTGTTTTTAAAGTGCCATAATAATTAAAGTAAAAAACGCTTTTTCCGACGCTAAGTATCTATTAAATTAAATGCTACTTTTGTCGAAACGTTTACACAAACAATGAAAGCTAAGTGAAGTCATTGTTTGAGAGAAATTTTACGATTACAAAAGAAAGGTTCTTCATCGGTAAAGACTGTACAGAAGAATGAATAATAAATTTTAACTCTTTTTAGAACTGTGTGTACGTCGAACACGCGATCTAAACTCCAACTGTGGTGCGCTCACTCGTCAACTATAGACAACCAAGACTTTTATTTATTTGTTTTTTTAAATTATTTCACTTTATTTCCACTTCTTTTTTTCTTTTAATTCTAACACTATAAATCGCGTAGACATGACATTTTAAATACTAGGGAACCCCATCCCTGCTCGACGCGTCCGCCAACCCATGAAACAGTTCTTTTCGTATAGCTTCCCAATTTGAGCTCGCTTCGCTCACTCATTGGGCTCCTTTTGTTACACACACACACGCACACACACACATACACACACACACACA